ACAGTAACGTTTTGTGTGTGTGTGTGTGGTTTTTTTAAAACAGCATTTAAAAAAAATGGTCACAAGCATCTTTCCATGTGTTCCTTGGCTGCTTGAATGTGCTCTTTGGTAAAGTATCTGTGACTGATGTTTTTAAAAAGTAATTCGGAAATAGGCTTTGTTTTTCACAACATGGTCTCCCCGCTAGAGCTGCCATTAAGGAGCAGGTCTATAAAACGGGGGTGGGGAGGGAGGAAAGGTACAAAAGAAAGATAACTGAGGAAGAAACCTACGACAGAGTTCCTCAGGCATACTGGCGAGCCCCCTTGCCCAGCTGGCACCCCAAGGAGGGACAGGTTGAGCCTGCAGAGAAGGAGCATCGAGGTATAAGAGCTCTTCCTTGAAAGTCCTCGTGGCCACCACAGACTCCCTCTGTCCCCAGAGCCAGGAGGGAAGGCTGCCCTGCAGGAATCAGGTAGACTGGGTGTGGTGCTTACATAATCTCCTGTCAACTTGCAAAGGGGTGGGGTCTAGCCTGTCATTCAGGTCATAGCCAATGAGGCCTCTGTGTGGGCCTGGCCTTGTCCTGAGGATTCTGGGAACTCCTGTCTTCCTCCCTGGAGGCAGGACACACACTCTCTCCCTGACAGACATTGCTGTTGACAAGCCACATAGAGCTACGGTAATGGAGCCAGAGCCCTGGCGCTGGAGGAGCCACGTGGAGATGCTTCCACCACCACTGAATTCACAATACTTTCCACCCACTGGCCTGTGATCTTCTTTGTATGTGTGGCATGAGTCTGCATGTGTTGTGTAAGTCTGAAGAGGAATTTATAGACTGGTACTGGACCTATGGGCTCATATAGGATTTATGGACTTGATCTGGACTGGGCTGGGATGTTTTCTCAATATACAATTACTCTTTTATATAAAACTCTCTCTTACACACATATGAGCCTCCCTAGATTTGTTACTCTAGTCTACCCAGACTAACACCTAGGGCTTGGAAGCTATGTTCTGCTATTCACTAGAAGGATGCCTGTCTGAGCAAGTGACTGAACTGCTCTAAGTGGGTGTCTTCATCTCTGAAAAAATGTGTAGGACTCACTGGTATATGGGGTACTAAGGTTAAACACTCAATAGACCCTGGCTTATAACAAGAGTTTGATAAGTGTAGTTTTCTTCTCTCTCCCTTGTATGGCTAGCACTTAACCAGGAGTGTAACTCATTCTGAAGTTTGTTGTTAGGGCTATTTGGACCGCAAGACATGCTTACGTATAAAACAAATAGCCTTGAACTTTGTAAAGTCTTGGTGTTGTAGTCAGGCCCCATCCATCAGTTCTGACCCATAGCAACCCCGTACACAACATACACAACAGAACGAAACACTGCACAGTCCCGTGCCAGCCTCACAATACTTCCTATGCTTCAGCCCATTGTTGCAGCACTGTGTCCATCCAGATCGGCACGCCCTTCCTCACGTTCACTGCCCTTCCCTCTGCTTCACCTAGCATGATGGCCTTCTCCAAGGACCGGTCTCTCCCGACAACATGTCCTAAGGATGTAAGACAAAGTCTGGTCATCGTTGCCTCTAAGAAGCACTCTGCCTGTACTTCTTCCAAGACAGATTTGTCTGTCCTTTTATCAGTCCGTGGTACTTTCAATATTCTTCAGCCAGCAGCACAATTCAAATGTATTGATTCTTCTTTGGTCTTCTATATTCGATGTTCAACTTTCACATGCTTATTAGGCAATTGAAAATACCACGGCTTGGGTCAGGCACATCTTCGTCCTCAAAGCAACATCCTGGCTTTTTAATACCCTAAAGAGGTTTTGTGCAGCAGGTTTACCTGATGAGTCTTTTGATCTCTTGACTGCTGCTTCCATGAGCATCGATTGTGGGTGGCAAGACAAAATTCTTGACAACTTCAATCTTATCTGCATTTATCACGATGCTACCTATTGGCCCAGTTGTGAGGAGTTTGGTTTTCTTTCCATTGAGTTGTCATCCATATTGAAGGCAGCACTCCTTGATCTTCATCAACAAGTGCTTCAAGTCCTGTTCACTTTCAGCAAGCAAGGTTATGTCATCTGCATATTGTATGGGTTGTTAATGAGCCTTCCTTCAATCATGATGCCACAGTCAAGTCTTACTATCTGTCATAGCCTCATTCATGGACGTGACCTGTAAGACAGGTGGGCTCGTTAGCTGTCTTCTGAACACCTGTGGGGCTGCTCAGCTCCTTCATCATGGAATCAACCATCTGCTTTGCATCACTCATCCAATCCTGAGCCCTCCTTCAATATTCGGATGAGATCCAAATATGCTTCCTCCATTCCCTGATAACGTATTCCAGACCGAGTTTGCCCTCGTCTGCAAACCCATTTCACTTTGAGATGGTCATACGAGCTTTATAAGAAAAGTCCTAACCGATGCCTATTGGGGCTATTCATGTGGGCTTGCCACCATTCTTAGAGCCTTTGCATTGTTCAGTGTTCTCGAACAGTCAAATAGTAATAGCTACGTATGTTGAACGGACGGATAATAACTTCATTTGTTGAGGGCATATTAGGTGCCGAGCAGTGTGTAATGGCGCTTATAGGCGTTTCTTCAGCATTTCCACAGCACAGATAATGAAGTGCATTACAACTCCCCTGTTCTGGAGGAAGCTGAGCCTCGGAGGGGATCACTCGCTTTATGAAGGTCAGCTAGCGAGAAGGTCAGGGGAGCAAGGATTACAGTCTCAGGGATGTGCCATCGCTGACGCTGCTTCCAAGGAAAGTGCAGATTATGAACGCGCAAATGAATGGGGCGGGAGGGGGGGGGAATCAAATACTGAAGACATCTGCAGCTTCAGTTTGGGATGCAACGTTTATCAAAATTCCAGGCAGATCGATGACCCACAAGTTAGCACCAGGGTTCAAAAAGCAAAGCAGCCGCGGAGTCCAGATGAAACGCTGCAGCGGCCCTGATGGCGTAGTGGTGATGCGTTGGGCTGCGACCTTCAAGGTTAGCAGTTTGAAAGCGCCAGCCGTTCCGCGGAAGAAAGCCGAGGTTTGCTACTCTAGTAAAGATTTACGGACACTCACAGGGACAGTTCTACTCTGTCCATTTAGGGTCCCTATGCGTCTGCATCTACTCGAAGGCGTTGAGCGGGATCTAAATGCTGCACACAATGTCTCTGCCACTAGAGGGCTTCCTCCCCTTGGACAACACCCAATGCCGGCGTTGGCCCCGTGTCCAGGCAGCTTGGGAACCAGACTGCGGGCACCCCTCCCCACGCTTACTCCAATTTTGCCTAACCCCCTGCGTCTGGGTGAGAGGCTGGGCGGCCTGAGGGGCCCCTGGGGCATTTCCCCAAGCTGCAGCAGCGAATGGAGAGGGAGCTTTCGCTGCCTTATCCCGTGCGTCTCTGGGCTGGGGATACTTTAGGGTGGTGGACTCCTTGGCTGCTTTGAGAGTTCACGGGGTCGGGAGGGCTGGCTAGAGAGCAAGCCAGCCAGCCTCCCAGAAGTGGAGGCCCAATGGAACTCCTCCTGTGCCCCCGAGACGCCAACCTGTCTGGGAAGGAAAACAGACAGGTCCACAGGGGCGCACCCGCGGAGGGGCAACTCCCAGAGCCGGGAAACACCACCAGGTGTGAAAATGCCTCGCAGCGAACAACCTCAGGAGACCCGAGATGGTGTCGCCGGGTGCCGGGGCCTCGGTCCCCCACCAAACCATCCCGGGAGCCCTGGAGGGGCGGAGCTTCCGCGGCAGCCGCTGGGGGCCCGTGGGGACACCCCACCCCCTCCTGGACGGGGTTGTAGGTAAGGACTCTGTGAAGCATTTGAACACTCTATTAGAAGCAACTCCTCTGGCGCGACAGCAAACGAAACGAGACAGATGACTACACCGTATTAAGACACACACACACACACACACACACACACACACACACACACACACACAGAGCAAAACGCAGAGGTAGGAGAGGGATTAGCCAGGGAGGCGGGACAAAGCGCTGCTCCTCCTCTTCTCCCTCTTGAGACCGTTGCTTTTGTGACATTGAACATTTATTGACGACGCGAAGGGAAAGGTGATGCGAATGTACATGGGCTTATCTAGCATGCCCAGCGACCCCTCCCGCCCCCTAGAAAGAGAAGCCGGAAACGGGGTCTGCAGCCCCGGGAGCAGCAGGAGTGAGAGTGCAGGTCCCGCTCGAGACCTCAGGGGACCCCGCACGGCGAGGTGGCCCCGAGTGGCTGTCCGCGTTGTTCGTCGAGCCCGCCCTCCTCGCCCCGCAGTCCAGCAGCGCGCCCACTTCAAAGGCGTCCGGCCGGGTCTCGGCGGGTCCCCGGGGACCCCAGGTGGCCGCGCCCCGCAGCTCTGGGAAGGCCGGGCGGCGGAGGCGCCCAGGCAGCCGGGGCATTGTTTCAGCTCCTCGGGTGGGGACCTGGAGGGGGAGGGGAGGCAGAGGGGGAGGGGGGATCCTCGGGACCCGCCCCGAAGCCCTCCCGGGGGACTCGTGCTTCAGCGCCCGGGCTTTGTGAAGTGTCGCGAGTCACCATGGAAACCATAAGGCCCGCGGAGCAGGGCGCCGGTGGGGTCAGCGGGTTCCCAGGATGCGCCTATCATCCCCCTCGGACCCCAGCCCTGCAGCAGGGCTCGTCGGGAGTTGTAGTCTGCGGGCGGCGGCCGCGCGCGGC